TCGGCTTTTTGACCTGTCAAAAACCTATGTGGCGCTATCTATTAGCACCCTGGAGAACCGGGTGATTTTTACCGAGAATACCGCCTGTCAGAGTTACAAGGGTCGNAAAAATTATGGAAGAAAAAAAAAAGAAATTCAACGATTCAATTTCAAGATATAAATAGCAACATATATTAAATTCGCTCTGAATAAATAAACAAGCTATTGAAAAAAAAACACTGATATTCCGAATTACAAAAAAAAATTCATTAACTTTAATTTTTTAAATGGAAAACATTTTTTTTTCCATATGATTTTCACGCAGCTCTGGGGGATGAACGGTTGGTAATAGGGGTAAAGTGCCTCAAACATTTTTTATGTAGCATTTTGAGCTCTACAACTTTGTATACCACGTTTTTGGACATACAGCGCCNAAATTCGAAAAAATCATACCCACTGAGGTTATGCCTCGCGAGGGTCAATCATCGCAAAGGTCATCCCTCGCAAGGGTCAAACGTGACAATCATAACTTGGGTGGGTCAAACGTCACAATCATAACTTGCGAGTGTCAAATGATCATAAGCAACAACAAAGACCAAATGGAATAGTTTCAAATTATTTTTTCTTAATTCATGATCATTCCACCCTTGTCATTGTTCTGCCTACAGGAGAGGTAAGTTGAAAAATCACAATAGTTAAAATTAAGACGCAGGCAAGCTGGAAAATCACAAACGATCAAGAAACAATCACATAGTAGGTAAATCATAAGCGTCAATCAGGATAACTAGGCGGTGACCTAGTGACCTGTTTGACCCTTGTGAACCTACTTGCTTTTTTTGTTTAAACTTTATGACCGTTGGAACTTTGTAATTGAACCGCCTGGCGTCCCCCGTTGAACCTCTTATTAGTTTCACCCTCCAGATTGAAGGATTGCTTCCGTTGTTTGACCCTTGCGACGTTTGACCCTAAGAAGGCATAACCCTTGCGATGTTCAACCTTCGCGAGGATAACCCTCGTGATCGTTTGATCTTAACGATTTCCGGCCGATGTGCCTCTCACTTTTGACCCTTGTGACTTTTTAGCTTAGCTTCCTTGTAAAGAGCTTTCTGACACTTTTGGACATTTTTGACGCCCCAGAGGTAAATTACCGGAATTTGACAATGTCACGTCATAAACTTCCATCTGCGAGATATGCCCAACCCTGCCGGCTGACGAAAAACCTCAAATTATTCTTTCTATCGCATTCGTGATGTTCCACAGGCCCGTGCGCGCATGCGCAAATGGTCGGTTACAATGCTGTAAGGAGTGGGAGTGAGACGTAGACTTCTCTCTCGCACAAAAGGTTCTCATTCACGGCGCCGGATTTAGGGATTGCAGCGAGAAAATTGCGTTTAACTTTGAATCCATACGAGATTCGCGGGTACGATGAAGAGAAAATTTATGGTAAATGTTCTAATAAAAATTATGGAAGAAAAAAAAAAGAAATTCAACGATTCAATTTCAAGATATAAATAGCAACATATATTAAATTCGCTCTGAATAAATAAACAAGCTATTGAAAAAAAAACACTGATATTCCGAATTACAAAAAAAAATTCATTAACTTTAATTTTTTAAATGGAAAACATTTTTTTTTCCATATGATTTTCACGCAGCTCTGGGGGATGAACGGTTGGTAATAGGGGTAAAGTGCCTCAAACATTTTTTATGTAGCATTTTGAGCTCTACAACTTTGTATACCACGTTTTTGGACATACAGCGCCTTATTCACGAGTTATTTCGAAAAAACGGTTTTCAGGGGTAGTTTTTTGGCTTTTTCAACCCCCGCACAAAGTTGGGGAACCTTAAAGATCAAACCTTAAGATAAAAAAATCCATTTAACAATGGGATAAATGGAGTGGAGAGAAAAACGTGAATATCTCGGAAATTAGATGCGATAAAATTGTCCCTTTTCATGTGCACGTACACATATAATTGGACTGAAATATATAGAAATTTTTAATTTGCAATGACGAAATTCCTTGAAATTTCCGTATTACGGCAACGCGATAAAAATTCCCAATAAGTGTTCCCGGAATTTCCGCGAAAATATTACTGAAACCTACAGACATCATTCCTGAATTCAAGAATTTCCTTTGATTTTCAGGATCATGTCACTGGAAATTTTTTACAAAATGACTTAATTTTAACATTGCTTGCTCATTGCATTTCTGAAATGCAGCTGCCTAAAAAAGATACATCGATTCCTAGGAACAACGTTTTTTATTCTCGGTAAATACATACAATAGAGAAATGTCAGAGTGGAATTCCCTGATTTTTTTTCACTCTCGATTAATTTTTTAAAGATTCAAATTGATACTTGATTGATTCACATCGTTCCATTCCATCGGGAGATATTGTCGATTGGAGACAATTTTTTATGGTCACTGTAGGAGACAAACCATTCATCTAAATCTCGCAATAATCTGCGAAAAATCTTATTCATTAATCTATTATTATTGAATTAATCCCATTATGTGTAGATCGCTGGAGAACAACGAAAACGTTCCAACCGTTCAAACGAGTTGGAATGTTTTCTCTCCCCTTCTTCTCCATTTTCTTTCTCACTCGCACTCGTTAAGTTTGGCGGAGGACGGGCACGTGCCAACCCGACGGAGACGACAATGAGTGGGAGTGAGCGCGATACATATTCGTTTCTCACTCAGGGGGGGAATAAATATATCTAATCGAACATTACCGTAGTAAAAAAAAAACAAAATCTGCACAATTATTCAATAGAATCACTGGAAAATTATAGAGTTTTCCAGCGACAGCACTGGGATTTTCTATGAATTTTTTGACCTACGTGTCAATAATAAATATGTCGAGAAAAAGGAAAAGACTTTTAGATCATTAAATTCTGCATTCATTATACTATTGATTATAATGTTTGATTTTACATTCCTGACAATTATTACAAAATGCGAGGAGCTACCGTATTGAGAACCCCTTTCCCGTTATCGACAAATTTATGCTCGGGCCCTACCATACCAACAGTTCCGTACGCTCCATCGTAGTCCATGCGCCACCGCTACTAATTTTGCTGTTGAACACTTTACATTGGCCCTGCTCATCTCCCTTATAGGGTGCGTTTCGGAATCAACTACCGTAGCTGCAGTAAAGCAAAATTAGATACCCCATCCCTCACTCTGACTTTAAAGCATCTATCACGAGCCGAATGAAAACCCGAGCCTCCAATCTCCTTCGATTACAAGCCTCTAACTTAAATAAAGGAAAAGAATATTTCCAAAAATACTACACCGGTTGGCACCCACCCTGGTTTCAAAATCTTGACATTGAAAGACCCCAAATATCTACCATCTCCAGACTAAGATCGAATCACTACAACTTAAACCAAAGTCTACATAGAAAAAATATTGTCAACTCCCCCCTCTGCTCATGTAATCAAATCGAATCCTTCGCTCATGTGCTCTGGTACTGTCCCTTATATGCTGGGGAACGCACAGTACTCGTCAAAGCTCTGAAAAAACTCCACATAAATTCCTTCAATCATGTAAAACTACTATCCGCTCCCACCTCCAAAGAATCCTACCTTATAACCAACTACCTTAAATCCATAAATAAACTAGTTTAAAATCCCTGCACTCCTCACAATTCAAATCTCCCACACCAAACCTCGTTACCGACTCCAAAGTTCCTGAAATGCCCAATAGAGGGATAACGGCCGCAAGACAACTTAGTCAGTGCCACAAAAAATCATATCATCATCATCATCAAAATTAGATAGGGTTGCAGTACTGCTACTGCTACTACGTCGATTGCGAAACGCGCCCATAATCTCTGGATACACAAGCAAATGGGGGCTTGTGTGAGCGCGTGTGTGTATACCTCTTTGACGGCCATATTGGCAAAAAACAGCGCCCTCAACGATATTTCCTGTTCCCAATAGATGCAAGAATAAGCGAATTTTTTATTTTAATATTTGACGAGAATTTTTAATGATAAAGGATTAAAAATGCCATTGCCTGCTGCTTTAGTTGCGCGACTTGCGAAGAGAGGTCTCATCACAGGATCAGAAATAAATGGTAAACATCAGCAAACAATTAACCTCAATTTACAACTGTTCTTTCGGAATTGTTTACGTATTTATTTATACTTTTGTAGAATCATCGTCTAAAAAAGAGGTGAAGAAGAAAGTTCATGAAGAAGTGATAGCTGAAGATTACGATAATGCAAAGGACGAGATTAATGAGATCGATATATCTGAAAAATTCATGGTGAGTCGTTCAATATCACTGCAATAAAAGTACAAAAAATATCATAGAGAAACCTAGCAAATTCGCAAAAAATTCTCTTGGATTTCTGTTGAGGAATTCCTAGAGACAATCTCAATAGAAAAAGTTGTATAGAATTAAATAGATTTTTTTCACAGAATAGTTTCTATTGAACATTTTCAATGAAAAGGAAATTGCTAGAAAGTTGTATTGAATTTCTATTGAACTTTTTATTAGAATCTGCTTTTTTTTTTTTCAATAGAAGTGTTCAATGCGAAATATGCTATAGGCAAAATTAATAGAATTAGATTTTTCCATACATGTTATTCTATTGAGATATTTTCTCTAGAAATGCCTCAGCTTAAATTTTCTATTTTTTTTTTGTTTAATTTTCTTCGCTAGGTTTTTCTATGAAATTGTTTTGAGGGGGTATCGAAGTGCTCATTAGCTCCTGAATAATTGAAACAAGACAATAATTCCATGAAATTCAATGATTTCTCCTCGCAGGGATACACTGGATGCCCGAACAAATACAACATTTACCACGAATGCACGAAAAAATGTAAAGAATTGTGGGGAACCGGTCAACTGCAGCCTTCAGAGAAATACCTGAAAAATCAAATGAAATTAATCCAAAAATATCCATTACCTGAGACGTGGAAGGCGGTCTATGATCCTGGATCGTGAGTAAACTCACAATTTCAATTCAAATGTTTGACAGAAAATCGTAGCCCTTTTTGAGGAAATTCCATTGAATTTCTATTAAAAATCAATTAAAACTTATGTAACTTTCATGTGCGTTGTTTAATAGACGTTTATTCATAGAAAAAGTATATAGATGTTGATTTATAACGCTAGGTTTTTTCATTAAGTTATTATTTCCTCCCTGTATTCTGGTAAATTTTCGAATTCTCGAATTGTTTTTCATAGTGGGCAGCATTACTACTGGGACTGGTCATCGGATTTAGTCTCTTGGCTGCCACCAGGCCACCCAAAATGCCAGATATCCCAGCCGGCCTCGCAATTGCGAGAGGAATTGCACCTGAAAGCTGCTGATCAGGACGATAACATGTCTAGTGATGACAGTGGGAGTGATCAAGAGCCCATGGAGGTGAGATTATCTTGTATTCCATCTCCTACAGACAGAAAAATGAAACAATTATTGTCATATGGAACATCCCAACCATTTTTACAGCTGTTTTTATCTTTTCTCATTAAAAAAAAACAAGCAAAAAAATTGGAAAAATTTATTCCGAAGAATTTCTATAGAAAAATATGTCAACAGCACGAGTTTTATGGGAAGATTGAAATCGATTGATTTTGTTCCGTAACATGAAAAAAGAAATTATTGTATTTAATTAACAATTCACTGAGTCATTGATATTAGAAAATAGTCAAGTCAATCAGAATCCATGTGTATTTTTACTTTTAGGTTGAAGAAACTGAAACGAGAAGAGAACATAAAGCCTCGAACAGGGATAGATTCAAGGTTCCAGAGGCGAAGAAATCTTACAAGCCAGATTCCAACAAAGATAAGAAGGATCGCAGCTTGGATCCGATGGATCCAGCTTCTTACAGTGACATCCCACGGTAACACGCACGATACTATTTAATAGAAAAACCTAAGGAATTCGCTAGATAATTCTATTGGATTTCTCTTGAACTTTTTATTAGTTTGTAACCGATTCTATTGAAATGTTCAATACAAAACATTTTATGTTAGGGGAGAGTGGGACGAAATGAAACAGTGGGGCAAAATAAAACAACCGAATAACGACTTTTGACTCAATTGAAGCAAACAAATAATTTTTTATCAACTTTTGTTTATCAACTCTTTTTATTATTGGGAGTACTGATAAGAATAATAATTTTCTATTAGTTTAATAACTCAATGGATTATAATTCAATTGATTAGCTTCGGCCGATTACACTTTTCTTTTTTCATTCGATTGAAATTCAGCACCACATTTTCCTTTTTCCCTCTGTGGCCCTCCCCTGGGCCTTGCTGTGGACTTTATATTTTACTGTTTCATTTTCTTTTTAATTAATCCATTAACAAAAACTTCTCCCGTCAAAGCTTCTCAATAATTTTCCATGCTACTGAATTATCCCTTTCTTCTATATAACCGTTCGTCTTTTTCGCGATTTTATCTCTCCCCTCAGCCGTTCGATAAAATGTTGATAAAAAATTTTTATCTAGACATACTTGATTGAATTTGAAACATCACATTTGCAGAAACCATCAGAAAGCTCACTTTCAGGGAAATTCACGAGAAATTCTAAATTTTCAACAATCATCATAAAAAGGAAACCAATCAATATAGCTATCGTGATCATCTTTTTACTTCGACATAATGGCATTAAAACAAACATTTTATTCTATGATTGAATTCATTTGAAGCGTGATATTCAAAGATATTCCCGAAATTCTGATCTTCAAAAAATACAAAATTTTTGCAAATTTTCAAATAAATCAAAATAACGATTATTGCTTTTGCCTTCATCTTCGAACTCAGTTAAAAGGACATCTAAAAAAATTTCTTAAGCCATCATTCAATCAATTCCGAACTTTTTTTAAAATTATCGTGGGAACACCAATTTTCGAAAAAAATCGGAAATTAAAAAAATTAATAGATGAATTAAATTTTAATTATTGTCGATGGATATTGTCGATGGCTCAACAGTGCCTACATTTGAGAAAAAAGAAAAGGAAAAATTTAATTCCGTTGATTTACTAGCAAAGAATTGAAAGAAAATTTCACCACACACATACGCATACATATATACACACATTCGTACGGACATGGTCTAAAAATAGCATTTTCGAACTTTTTGGATCATAATGGGTCGATGTAATAAAAGAAAACAAAACTTAAATTCGCAAGCAAAAAGTTAGTAAACAAAAGTTGATTAAAAAAAAAATTTAATAAACATTGTTATTTTTTGCTTGAATTGCGTCAAACATTGGTTTTGCGACTGCTTCATTTTACCCCATGTTTTATTTTCCCCCACTCTCCTTTATATTTTATTAAAATTATATTTTATTAAATTGATAATTATTTTTTATTAACATCAATTTTTATTTTCTTTTATCAAGAAAAAGTTGTATAGAAGAATCTAATTTATTAACTTTTTCTACAGACAAATTTCTATTGAACATTTCAATAGCATCAGCCAATACTAAATGAAAGTTCAATATAAATCCACTAGAATTGTCTAGGGAATTCGCTAGGTTTTTCTATGAATTTTTTTCACACGTGAAAATTCACATAACTGAAAGAACGAGTTTATCCTGTTATTCATTCTCGATTATCTCAATGGGCTTTCACAATTATGAATTTTTCTAAATTTATAAATTATTAATTTATTGACAATATAATTAAGAATTCTGAATATTTTATGAATTTTTATTAACAGAGGCAAATGGTCGGATGGTCTTGCTCGACACAACGAAGCAAAAACTGGGGTTGATACAACAGCATCCGGACCACTTTATCAAATGCGACCATATCCAAGCCCCGGAGCTGTGCTGAGATCCAATAAATCATCCAAATCTGAATTGGAAAATCAGAATAATAAATCTAAAGTATCTTTTCCTGAGAAACCTGAATAAACTGCACTTATGTGACTACTGACAAATTAAATTGATTTGATAAATGCTTTTTCAACATCTCTTTACTTATCCATGTACGAAAAAACTTCACAGAAACTATTTTATAGATAAAATCAGTAGAATTATTAAAACTTTTTCTATTGAAACTCTACTTTCCCTTTTTTCGCTCTACTTTCCTTTTCTTTTCATAAAACAAAATCAAATAAAAACACCTAAAAAATTTGAGCTAAAAAGTTTTTATAAAGCAAATCTCAGTAGAATAAGTTGAAGAGGAGTATCCACTTCTATTGATTTTTTCTATAGAATATTCTCCATTTAACATTTCTATTGAAAAACATCGTGCAGATGAGAAAAACTAATAGAAATTTTCAATAGAATTTTTTATAAAATTTTTTCTATAAAATTTTTCTGTGTCCACATCTCCACAATTCAAAGAATCAAATTCATAATTTTTTAAAAATAATTCAAGTAAAATTTCAATCTCAAAGGTTGGCTACAATTAAATTGGCAGTACTGTCGCCGCCATCTTGCCGAGTATAAAAGGCACCTCGTCCCCTTCAAATCTTCCATTTTCTTCGGGGATCGCATCATGGTGAGTTGGTTAACGGCAATTTTTCATCCATTTCAGAAACAATAATCCTGCATAAATAATCCAAAATAATAGTTCAATCCTATAACTTAACAAATGTTCTTTCCCTTCGTGTCTATATTTTTCAACGAAATAGCGAAATATCTCATAAATTCGATTGTTAAAAATCTTTGAGAATTTGCCACATGGTAAGATGGCAGCCGCCACGCGTTATTATATGATGATTTAGATAAAATAGTTTATGGTTGTAACTGATTAACCATGAAGATATTATTCTAGGGCGGTCTGAAATAATTAATCAATTGAAAATATTGATGGAGTAACGAATTCCTGTAAAATTAGTTGTATTTTTTTTTCTCAGTCTCACCGAAAATTCAGTGCTCCCCGTCACGGGTCTATGGGGTTCTACCCCAAGAAGAGGTCCCAACGTCATCGTGGTAAGGTAAAGGCCTTCCCCAAGGATGACCCCAGCAAACCTGTTCATTTGACTGCTTTCATCGGTTACAAGGCTGGTATGACCCACGTTGTGCGTGAAGCTGATCGTCCTGGCTCGAGTGAGTGTTCAAGAAATCTTCAAAAAATTTCATTCATTTTTGCTTAATTTCATTATCTCTTCATTTTATTATTTCTTCATTTCTTTCTCATTCATTTCATTATTGCAATATAAAACTGTCATAAAGATTTTTTAATTACTTTGGGAATTCGCGTTTTAAATTATTTATCATCAAGATAGAAGAGGGTGGGCCTAGCAAAATGGACACTAGAATTTTCTTCCTCAATAAATGCAATTTTTTTTCCTTTGATTTCATTTTGATTTTGAGAAATAAAAATACAGTGAAAGAAAATATTTTAAAAATCTGTGGATTTTTTGCTATCAATATCTCTTTGCAAAATGACAAGTTACATAATCTCCTATATATTTGACACAAAAAAATAGTTTTTTAATAGAATTTCAAAATCATTTCTTTCATTTTAAATTTTTTCTTGTCTGACGAAATTTGAGAATGTCGTTCATTCATGTTTCATCTCTTCACTATTTATTATTTATGAAAAAAATACCGACGCTTATACTCTCGAAGGATAGGTGCAGTAATGCACTGGTCTATCGTGGAGTTGTGGTCACGAGCTGCTTGAACCCGTGCAGTAAATTCCAAGCCACAGTGTCGAATATAAACTCTGTCCCCCTGCTATCAGTGGGGGTTGATGGGGGCACGGCATATTCCATAAACTCTTGGTAGTTCATTGGACTGGGACCATTGAGACAAGCCATGCCTGGTACAGATCAAAATCATCAAATTACGATTATCTGTATAAATAATTGAAATCTGCATAAAATTCTTAAATTACTGCACTCAAAAAAATAATACCTTATTTTATGATTTCAAAGGTCTTAAAATAAGATTTTCAAGTTGAGGCCTGAAATTCTTAAGTTGAGAGTTTCGAAAGTTACAGTTTGAAACCTTGAGATGTCAATTTAAGCGTTCTGAAAGTCAGAGTTGTGATTTGGAAGGTCTTAATTTCAGATTTTTCAAGTCTAAAGTCGAGATTTGAAAGTTTCAATTTGAGACTTTCGTAGACTCAAGTTGATATTTTTTAATGTCTCAAGTGAAGACTTTCAGAACTCAACTTGAATTTTTTTTTTTGAGGATATCTGAGTATCTTGAATAGTTTGATACAGACCACACTAGATTCAACCATTTTCAATCATCAAATTTATCAATTAAATTGGGTGAAAAGAATTTGAAGAAAAAAAACATGAATATTCAGCCTCATTCAAATTACATTTTGCACAGAATTATTATTTTTTTGAATATTCGTTGTTTATAAATAAATAATTGACATTATTTGAACTTTCGGAAACATTATTTGGTAAGCATGAAATCGATTTTCGGTCAAATTCTGAATGTGAATAAATTTGTTACGACTCCGAGCAAATGATTTTTATGGTGGAAAATTGATTGTTTATAGATTATTTGTAAAAAATGCTCATAATTTTCAAAAATTGCAATTTTAAAAGTAAACTTTCTAATTTTTCTCTGATTTTTAACATGTTTTCTAATGGTTCAATATCGACATTCAAATTCAGACCTGCAAAGTTTAAATAATAAATTCTTTGAAAAATGTCCAAAAACTTAGGGTCAAATGAGACTAAAACGGAAGCTCTGATGTTCGACTAAAAAAGTCACTGGAGAAAAAATAGCCAAAATACTTGGATATCCTTGAGAGGAGTTTTGAAAGTCTCAACTTGCGACTTTTGAATGTCTCAATTTAAGATTATAAGCCTCAAAATACAGTTAATTTTTTTTGGAGCATAAATAAATTCAATAGACAAAAAAATGTGATTTTCATTAGCTTGTAAAACAATCAGGCAAGCATTTCTCATAATAAATTCTGTTTTCTTCATCCCCTTCAGAGGTGAACAAGAAGGAAATTGTGGAAGCAGTAACGATCCTGGAGACACCCCCAATGGTGGTAGTTGGTGTTGTTGGGTACATCGAAACTCCCCATGGTCTTCGTGCCCTCACCACTGTCTGGGCTGAGCATCTCTCTGAAGACTGTCGCAGGCGTTTCTACAAGAACTGGTAATTCCCCATTTTCATAATTTCATCGAGAATTCCCTTCTCCATCACAAGTTGACAAAGTTATTAACGAAAAATGATAATAAAGCTCTCCGCTCGTACGATGAGAGTCACAAGTTGGAACAAGCCAATTGAAGATTGATTAATTGACAATCATAAAATTGCGGCTCCAAAAATGTGTTCAATCTCCTCTCGTTGATCACCAAGACGATGAGATTGGCACGTTACAGATTGGGCAAAGAAAAATCTACGAGTTGCGAATGGAAAAATGGATTTGTTCATTAATTCTTGGGTGCAGGTACAAGAGCAAGAAAAAGGCTTTCACCAAAGCCTCAAAGAAATGGCAGGACGATCTTGGACGCAAGTCCATTGAGAAGGATTTCAAGAAGATTGTTAAGTACTGCAAGGTCGTGAGAGTTATTGCTCACACTCAGGTAATGATCTCTTCTACAAACAAACACAAAAAACAACCTTGCGAATTCGATGAAAAAATTTCCATAAAAACTATTTTATTGGAAGAGTAGAATTTCATCTTTTTATACGAATTCTTCTGTTGAAGCATCTATAGAAATTCCTTGACATAAATTTGCCAAATTTTTCCCAATATTTTTATTCTCTTTTTATTTGAAAAACAATAAAAAAATGGAGAACATTGAGCTCCATCGCATGAACATATTGAACATTGATGCATTTCTGTAGAAAATATTTCAATATAACAAGCCGTATAGGAAAATCTAATTCTATCAAATTTTTCAATAGAATCAGCCAAAAACTAATAGAAAGTTCAACAGAAATCCAATAGAATTCTTTAGGTTTTTCTACGAAATTATTTCGCACTTGAATTCCATTATTCATCATCTTGATGGCCTCCAGGAGATGTAATTGGACAAAACAATGGTGAATTTGCAGATGAAACTGTTGAGACAACGCCAGAAGAAGGCCAACATCATGGAAATCCAGTTGAACGGTGGTACCATTGCACAGAAGGTCCAGTGGGCACGTGATCACCTAGAGAAACCAGTTCCAATCACCAATGTTTTCGCTCCTGATGAGATGATCGATGTGATCGGTGTCACTAAGGGAAAAGGATACAAGGGTGAGTTTATCTGATCCTTAAATTTTTCCTAATAAAATTTTTTTAAACCTTCACGGTGGACTGAATGATGAAAGCATGTTGTGCCTTTTCCGAGAACTTTGAGGATAGTATCATGCTGCCTTCCTACTGAATGTCCAGAATAACATTTATCTATTCATCAATAACTTTTTTTAATTTGATGATTTTTTTTTCATAATTAAATCTAATTAAACTGTAAAATACCAATTAAAAAGGATAATTAGTCTTTTTTCATGTTAAATATTGATTCAAATTCATTTATCAATCATTTAATTAATTCATTAATCAATAACTTGTATTAAATTTAATTAATTCATTTTTATTATTTATTGACGCTTTATTTTGATGACTAATTTTTCGTTTTGTCTTGTTAATCAGGTGTTACGTCACGTTGGCACACGAAGAAACTTCCACGTAAGACACACAAGGGTTTGAGAAAGGTCGCCTGTATCGGTGCATGGCATCCAAGCAGGGTCTCCTTCACTGTTGCACGTGCTGGTCAGAAAGGTTATCATCATCGTACGGAAATGAACAAAAAGATCTACAGGATTGGCCAGGGAATCCACACCAAGGATGGAAAGGTAACATTCATATTCCTCGTAATATTTCATGAATTGAGAAGCCTTTCAGTGGATCGATCCTCATTTCTATGGAGGGAAATTGATTTTTTTTTGTTGGAATCATTGATCAGGCCAGATTGAAAGGGCTTGTACATAGTACCCAGGGTAATTTTGTGTTACTCTGGGCCT